TGTATGGTTTTCAAGATATAATTTTGCCTTTATTTTATCCGGTTCCTGCAACACCTGAGGAAGAGCGGTGGCATACGCTCGTCGTAGTGAGAGCTCTCTCTCTTTATATTGAGTAGATAAGTTCATTCAGGAAGTCCCCCAGACTCTTCATATTACCTGTAGGTCACAGAAGGGGTGAAGGGGCTTCTACATACACATTGAGGCAGCGGGTGATAGCTGCTATTTCAAAGGCATACCAATTCAAATACCTAAAGGTATTAGGGCACATTCCACATGTGCTGTGGCTGCTTCATAGGCTACTGTGGCAAATACGTCTTCAGACTCTATCCTCTCTAAATACGATTATCAGACATTACAACCTGGATGTTAGATCTGCTGAGGCGCAGTTCGGACGCAACGTCTTTCAAGCTATTTATTCCTCTCGTTAACTTATTTGCTTACCATTTAATAGATTTTAAGTCATGAATTATTCTGATCCCTCCCTTTTCTTGGATGCTTGGGTATTCCCTTCTAAGTATAGGCTGTATGATAAGCCAGGACAGGGGAAAATGTATTCATACTTACCGTCATTTTCTATTACTGGCTATTATTCATGGCAGCCTATACTGCCCACCCATTAATCTGTTCCTATTTCTACTGAAGTGCATGTTACTGACTGAAGACCTTAGGAGTGGAGCCTCCTTTCAAGTCTTTGGTATTTTTCCTGTCCTACTGGCTGTAAGGGGCGGTTGCTAAGCCATCTAAGTATATGCTGAATAATAGCAAGGAAAATAAAATTACTGTAAGTATGAATACATTTCCCCCATCTTGATTTCCTTTCTGGTGTGAGGTAGATAGGTAAAAATTCAGAATTCAGAATTGAGAAATCTGTAAATATTGGAATGGGTTTGGAACTAGAACTCTATCTGATGTTTATAGCAGAGTCAGTGCTGCACAGTGTGCTATTCAGTGCCACCACCCTCTTCATGGAGACACTGAATTTTCCTGAATTTAACCAATACAGCTCTGTGAGGAGATGCTGATTGGCAAGGGCAGTGTTTGGCTTGTGCTGGCTCTGCCCCGATCTGCTTCCTTGGCAAGCCCTCATTGCTTTTCTATGTGAAAGCATTGTGATTGGCCCAGTTCACCACTTCTGATAATGTCAGCCAAGCAGTCAGATCAGGGGCAGAGCCAGCACACTGGAATAAAGCTAATATTTAACTGTATTTAGGGAGTCCAGGGGGGGCTAGATGGTGGTTTTAACACTCTAGGGTCAGGAACACATTTGTGTTCTTGACCCTATATTGTTCCTTTAAAGTTTGCGTAACACTTGTGTCCATAGTAGCTATTAATCCTGCTAAAATGCACATTATTTCATCCTAGATGTGAGGTTAGCACCTTGTTGCAGGTTAGGATTTGTAAAAATGTTCTCTCATCTCATAGCATGCTGTGTATTGACAGATTACTTAGAGGAACACTCCACCAACATACCTTATGAATATGCTTGTTATAACTTTTGGTAATTAGCTATATAGTTTTTCCAGAAATTTAATGTCTTGCAGTATTCTGCATGTTAACCCTTCCTCCTCCTGTTCCACCTTTCCCATTCCAAAATATGTCCTTGTTGCTGATTACTGTATGTGTGTACTACTTTCTTTCTGTCCCTCCCGCCTAACCTGCAGCAACATATAAATTGGATGTACGCTGTAATATTGTTTTATTATTTATATAGCGCCAACAAATTCCGTTGCGCTGTACAATGGATGGACTAACAGACACGTAATTGTAACAAGACAAATGGACGCACAGGAACAGAGAGGTTGAGGGCCCTGCTCTGAGCTTACATGCTAGAGGGAGTGGGGTAAAGTGACACAAAGTGTATAAGTGAAATAGGTTGCTAGAAAAGTATTCACTGAGAACTTAGGTTATTTTTGACCATTGCAGGAGAGGAGTCATGGGGGGAGGGTGGGAATGAAAAACCGCTACCAATTTAAAATATATTTTAACAGTTTAAAATATATGCTTTCCTGAGGTGTTTTTTCAAAGATTTTTTGAAGGAGTGGAGACTGGGTGAAAGTATAATGGAGAAGGGAAGGGAGTTCCACAGAAAAGGTGCAGCCCTGGAAAAGTCTTGGGAGGCGAGCATCAGATGTGGGAGTACCGACAGAGGATAGACATAGAGTGAAGGGACCTCGACGGGACATACTTGTGTCTTAGAGAGGATAGGTAAGTTGGAGCAGCATTATGTAGGGACTTGTAAGCAAGCACCAGAATCTTAAATTGGGCCCTATATCTAACTGGAAGCCAATGTAGGGACTGACAGAAGTGGGAGGTGCAGACGGACAGGAAAATGAGCTTCGCCGCCGCATTCATTATAGATTGCAGCAGTACAATCTGGGAACACGTAAGACCACTGAGAATGGGATTGTAGTAAAGGCAAGAAAGAACAACAGCATGGACCAGCACCTTAGCTGCGTCTGGTGTTAAATAGGGCGGATGCGAGCTATGTTTTTGAGATGGAAGTGGCAGGATTTCGCGATCGACTGGAGATGAGAATAGGATCAAGGGAACAGGTGGTGGGACGGGAGGACCGGAGGAGAGCAGCAACCTCTTCTGTTGTAATAGGCGCAAATGAGCATAGAACAGTGGAGTGAGTTGAGTTGGGTGGTGTATTGGAAGGGGAGGGAGAGAGGTTAGAGATCTCTTCCCTGATTGTAGAAATCTTCTCAGTGAAGTAAGTTGCAAAGCTTGAGGCGCACAGGGTGGTAGGAGGAGGTGGAACCACAGGGCGAAGGAGAGCAGTTCTGGAACATTTTTTGAGAGATCTGGTCAGCTTGGTTTGCCAGAGTTGTAATTGGGAACGCTTGCGGCATTTAAATGTGGGAGGTGCCATGATGTCAAGTTGAGAGGAGAGAGTGGAGTTGTAGAGGGAGGTTGCAGAGTTAGGGCAAGTGAGATTTGAGATGGGTAAAAGGAGAGTTTGGTGGAGATCAAGGCAGTGGAGGTTTCTGTGAGATTGGAGAGTTGAGGGTGGTGAAATTTGGGTACGGGGTATGCCGATGTCAAAGGTCAGCAGATAGTGGTCAGATAAAGGAAATGGAACATTGGAGAGATTAGAAGTGGTACAGAGATTGGTGAAGATGAGGTCAAGAGTGTTTCCTGCTGTATGAGTTGCTGAAGTAGACCACTGTGTGAGGCCGAAGAAGGAGATTACAGAGAGCAGACAGGACGCATCAGGGCAGTTGAGGTTGTTGATTGGGATGTTAAAGTCCCCAAGTATGAGGGAAGTAGTGCAAGAGGAGGGTGTGTATATGCACATAGCAAAAGCTTCTGAGAGTTGTAGTTTGTTTATAAGCTATCTGCTTAAGAAAGCTGCCAGCTAAACTACAAGTACCAGATACTGCTGTTCTAAGCAGAACTGAGGCCTGTGTACAGATATATATTATATTATATATTGAGGGGTATCTCCTTTCATTATTATGTTTATCAATTTTAAAACAAAGTGCACTATTTTCTGTTTTATTTTCATTCCATACCGGTAAATTCTTGTAACTACAATACCGTGCATCCAAGAGGAACCCCCTAAAGTCTAGAAACAGAGGCCACACCTGCATTCACCTGTGAGCAGAAGTCAGATATTGACCCTACAACACCATCATCAAAAGACCACGACAACAAGCACATCCACAGGCAGGGATTGTACTGCCCATTGACAACCTTTAGAGCAAATTGTAAGCTCTGAAAATCTGTAAGTGCATTTCTTTTATTTCATTCACTGAGCATATCCAAATACTGCACTATATTACAGTATCCACATACACTTAGAAAGAAGAGACTCTGGTTTGGTGTGTCCAAGCTGCCTTCTTGCACTTTACAAGATATGTATCTCGTATTTTATACCATATATTTAAAATTATGCCAGTCAGTCCTCCCCCTACACCAAGCATGTCAAACTCAAAGGTTAACACCAGCCAAATAAACAAGGTTTAAGTTTATGTGCGCCGCAAAAAAACTAAAACTTCAGTTTTCATAGAAACGTAGGTTTATTTACAAAAGTACAGTATAAAAAAAAGTTGCCTAACTGACACTGGATGTCCTCACGCTCGTAAGGCTTCAAAGTAAAGAAAAGAGCACATTTATTTTAAAGAGACATGCCTTTTAATATCACCAATGTTTCAGTGAAACTACCTTGACATATTAAGAAAGGTTTGGTAAAAGGACTGAAATAATGAATGTATGCGGTTGCACAGCTGTAAAAAAACAAAACAAATTAAGTTATCTTGTTGATTTTTAAGTCCTTTGAGTGTGTTCTTCAATTTGGCTAAGATCATCAAACTTAAAGATCTCAGCCAATCCAATGCTTTCCCACAAGAAAGTATTAGGAGGCTATTGTGCATGTGTGGCAAAAAGCTGAGCGGCCAATCAGTATTTCCATGAGGAAAGTTCAGCACCTCCATGCAGACCCAGTCTAATACACTGTCCCCCTCCCCACATTTTAATACACTGCCCACAAATCCAATACATTCCCCCCCCTCCCGCCACTCTCATACACTGCCCCCTCCACCCAATTTAATACACTGCCGCGTAATCTAATACACTGCCCCTCCTCCCTCCCCTCAAATTGAATACACTGCCCCCACTCCCGAATTTATTTATTACAATGCCCTCCCTCTCCCAATTTAACACAATGCCCACCCTCTCCCAATTTAACACACTGCCCTCCTCCCGAATTGAATTCCCCTTCCCCCCAATTTAACACAGTTTCCCCTCCCTCTCACAAATTAATACATTGGGCCCCCTGACTCCCCCAAATTAATACAGTGCTTCCCTCCTCCCTCCCCAAACTAATACACTCCCCTCTCCCCAATTTAACACACCGCCCCCCTTCCTACCACTCTAATACACTGCCCCACTTTCTCCCCCAAATGAATGCACTGGCCCCCTCCGCCCCCGAATTAATACACTGCCCCTCCTCCCCAATTTAACACACTACACAGGAAGGTCCTCTAAGCCCCTCTTCCGCTACCTACCTTAAGATGAGCCCCCCATCCTCCAGTTCCTGCTCTGTTCTTCTCTGCTCAAGCAGGCCAGATGCTCCTCTGGCACTGCGAGCAGGCGGGAAGCAGGAGTTGCTGGCCTGCTCTGCAAACAGACAACCACTCTGCACTCTTGTGGCTGTGGGATGTAAGACAAGAATCAGAGCGGGCAGGCGGGCCGCAAATATATTCATTGTGGGCCGCAAGTCTGACATGTTTGCCCTACACTTTAATAATTCTAGTGATTGGTTAAATTTGTCCACCAATTCAAACTCCATAGATCAGAAAGAGACTTCTAAATAGCCAAGATACTTTCTTGGGTGGGCAAATCTCAATGCTGGCGATGTAATGTGTGTTGAGCTGCATAGAAAAGTATTTTATTTTTTTATTAAATGTAAGTATCTTTTAAATCTTTTCTTGTTTTGGATTTATTTTGCATGTATTTACCATATGTAAGCCAGATGGTGCAATCTCTTTTAAAGGGAAACTGTCACATCATTGGAATTCTACCATATAGAAATTAGCCACCCCCAACTCGTTATTAAAATAATAGCCCACACCTACGGCTGGGGGCTGGACACTAGGTCCCCCTGTTTTACATATATAGTTATATATATGAGACCTCTATCCATCAATTTCAGGATTTCTCACATCTGTTTTCTTGCTGTTGATCCAAAAGAAGCGCTTTCCAATTTTACAAAAACCTAGGGAAAAAAAATAGTGACTCCCAGAATAGCAATTGGATCGCTCATTGGATCAAGAAGCTATTACTGAACATATTAAAAATTATATCTCTACATATTATGTTTTTGTAAGTATGCATCCAGTTGCGGTTTACACATCTGTCCAGACTCTGGAATTCTCTGCCTGAAGAATTCTCTTCATGGAGAGAATTCTGCATCCTTATTGTTTTTACTGTAAAAAAAAAATAATTTTTTTTAATTTGCCTTAGATTAAATTTCCTTTATTCCAGTCTAAATGTGTGACCTCGTATTCTATGTATAGTCCCTATTTATGAAAAGATTTCCTGATAATGGTTTGTATTGGCCCTGAATATATTTGTATAATGCTATCATATTCCCTCTGAGGCGCCGTTTTTCTAAACTAAACAGATTTAAATTTGTTGACCTTTCTTCATAATTATAATGTTCAATTCCTTTTATTCATTTTGTAGCCCGTCTCTGTACTTTTTCTAATGCCATAATATCCTCTTTTAGAGCAGGTGCCAAAAATTGCACAGCATATTCAAGGTGTGTGTGGCGAAATCGACCTCGCCACTGGGCATTGGAGAAGACTGATTGCCAGCCTCCTGCTATGTGACTATGGCCCCTGGGATGTATTGCCCTTTAAAGACCTGATTTGGGCATAATGGATTTGTGTTGTGCTGCTGCTGGCCCTTTAAGAACCATCTGGGGACATACTGTGGAGTTACTGGGTGGCCACCATTTCCTGTATCAGAGGCACATGGTGAGAACAATGGATGAAGCACATGGTAAGAACAATGGATGGCGGCCATTTTAACTCACAGACACTGTTTTCAACACGGTGCCATCTCGCCAGTATTTGGTGCACAGAGATATTGTGCAGTGGTTTTGGACTATACAGCAGGGGACACATTATACAGTGATTGTTTTTCATTTAGCCTGTATATGTTCTGCAGAATCTGCATTAAACTGTATCTTCCAAAGTACCGAACGGATCTGGGTGAATTTTGGATATGTGGTTCACCCAGATCCACATATATATATTTCATGTTTTGGGGTCCCTGTGATGTGTTTTATGAAACTGTATTTTTTCTGTCTGTGATAATTAGATTACCCATTGTGTAAGGTAATTGTATCACAGGCGGGGGGAGGATTTTGTGTGGGAGTGTCTGAGTGTATTGTACGTGTTATTGGTTGTTCTGTAAAATCCTGTGGGCAGTCATAAGTTTGTGGATTGGGAATAAAAGAGGCTGTATGTGCCAGTCCAGAGAGTTCCTGCTTAACCCTCAAAGTGAAGTGTCGTCTCATTATTGGGGGAGGATTTATTGTATGCTGTTCCAGTTTGACTGCTAGGAGTCTAAACCCATCCGTATGGTTTTTGCCTATTCAGCTGTTTATAGCATTCATATGCTTGAGAGAAGGTATATGCTTCTCCGATTCGGTGATTGTGGTGTCGGCCAGAGTGCTTGGAGTCCCCAGGAAACGCTAGGAGCATCCTTTAACGGAGGTACCCAGTCGGGGTGCCAGGTGATCCGTTACAGCAGTGTTTCCCAACCCAGTCTTCAAGGCACACCTACCAGTCCAGGATTTAGGGATTAACCAGTTGTGTCTAAGGTGTTTTTTTTCTTCTTTGTAAAAACACCTTAGACACAACTGGGTAATCCCTAAATCCTGGACTGGTAGGTGTGCCTTGAGGACTGGGTTGGGAAACACTGCGTTACAGTGTGGTCTTACCATTGATTATAAAGAGGCAAAATGTATTTTTCATCCCGCGAATTGATACCCCTTTTTATATATGAAAGTACCTTACTGGCCTTGGCAACTGACATTGCACATTGTTTCCTAGTTTGTGGTCTATAATAATTCCCAAATCCTTCTTGTGTATTGGTATCACTAATTCATTACCGTTTAGGGTAAGTTGCTTGTGCATTCTTTACCCCAAAGTGCATAGCTTGCATTTATCTACATAAAACAATCTGCCATTTAAGTGCCCAGTCCCTCAATTAGTATTATTATTACTGGCATTTATATAGGCCAACAATTTCCGTAGTCCTTTACAATATTATCAGAGGGGGAGCTGTAATGATAAATGAGACAATTACAAAAACTTAAACAGTAATATCCTTCTCACATTGTAATGTTTCATATAGTTTTGTGTCATCTGCAAACACTGAAACATGGCTTTGAATGCCTATTTCAAGATCAATAGAAGTGGTCCCAAAGACAGAACCATGAGGAATGCCATTTACCACTTTTGTCCAGCTTGAAAATGTACCATTAGTGTGCTCTATCTTTAAGCCAGTGTTCTAATCAAGAATAAGAATTTTCATCTAGACTACCTATTGTGTAGAACCATATTAGATGCCTGGGCAAAATCCAAGTAACACTTGGCAAAATCCACTGCAACACCCTGATCTATACTTCCTCGTAGAATGCAATTAAGTTAGACTGACATGATCTATGTTTCATAAAACCATACTGATTGTTGCTAATAATGTTCTTCCCAAAATAATTTCTGAATATTTTCCAATAATAAGCCTTCAAATACTTTCTCAGCCACACAAATTAAGTTTACAGGTCGATAATTTCCAGGCACACTCTTCACACACAAACAGCTGTTCAGCAAGCTAAAGTGGTTTATGGGTCTGGAGTGTGCCTTTAACGAAACATGCCCATCTCTGTTTTCAGCGTGTCTACACTTTAATTTTTTTTTTACTTTTTCCTAAAATATCTTTGGGGCTGGTTTTGCTAAAATTTTTTCTCAATTTCTAGTTCAGTCCATCTAACCACGTTTTTGCATTTACTAACATGTATTCTGGACCCTACAGTGTTAAAACCACCACCTGACCCACCGGCCTCCCCTTCTACCCCCACTTGCCTCCCTAAATAAAACAAAATCTTACTTTTATTCCAGTCTACTGTTGCTGGCTCTACCCTTGGTCTGCATGCTTGGCTGACATTATCAGAAGTGGTGAACTGAGCCAATCACAATTCTTTCACATAGGAAAGCATTGGAGTGGCTGAGACTGTCAAGGAGGCAGATCAGGGGCAGAGCCAGCACAAGCCATACACAGCCCTGGCCATCAGCACCTCCTCATAGAGATGCATTGAATCAATGCATCTCTGAGGAAAGTCCACTGTCTCCATGTAGAGGGTTGAGATACTGAATGTCTGTACAGCACTGCCACAGGAAGCAGCTTTACCAGCCATCTAAGGAGTGGCCAGTGGAGGTATCCCTAGGCTGTAATGTAAACACTGCATTTTCTCTGAAAATACTGTTTACTGCAAAACTCCTAAAGGTAATGATTATACTACGCAAAAAAAAAAAAAACACTATAAGCTTTAGTTCACTGGTGACTATAGTGTCCCTTTAAGTCAACTGCACAGTCATGTGTCTCATCCAACCATGTTTCTATTATGCCGATTATGTCATATTGCGTAGTATATGCTATATATTTGCCTCTAGTTCCCTCATTTTGTTATTTAGGCTCCTTGCATTACTAAGCATACATTTAAAATACTCATGAGTTTCTTGTACTTTGTTAATTTTTATACTATTGCATACCTTTTCTGTTCTGATATTGCTCCACCCCCTTGTGCTGAGCTAAAGGCTATCTCCTTTCTGTCCTTTCTCCGTTTTGTAGTTTTCTGTGTCCCTCCTCCTAACCACTAGTTTAAAATCTCCTTCAACCTTCTAGCCACCCTGTCCCCCAGCACAGCAGACCCTCTTCCATTTAGGTGCAATCCATCACAGCTTTAAAGTTTGTACCCAAGTGCAAAATCATCACAGTGCTCTAAAAAGCCAAAACCCTCCTTCCTACACCATGCCTTTAGCAATGCATTGACCTCTCTAATCTCCCACTGCCTTTCCACTGTAGTGCACGGCACAGGTAATATTTCTGAAAACACTACCTTGGAAGTCCTTTTCTTCAATTTACTTCCTAATTTTGTGAGTGAGTGGGCAGGCAAGTATTTTGACCTTTGTTTTTTCTGAAAGCACTCATGGGTCTAGGTGTACAGAACTCTGGCCGGAGCAGTTGAGCAATATCATACTCTGAAATCAGGTTATTTGAGTTTCTGAGAGCCTATATTTAATGTGTATATTTACCACTTTTGCCTATTTTTGTTTTCTTTATTTACTACTCTATCCTGACCTGTTCATGTGAAGCCACTAATTGTTTGCTCCAATGGTATCTATTTTGTGTTTTTAAGCTGTTTTACATATGTACCATTCTAGAATTTCAAAATTGTGCAGACATTTTGACATGTATTGCATATCCTTGTTGACACTCCCGTTGTGTCTTATGAAGACATGTCTTTATCTAGCTATGTTATTGTCATTCGGGTACAAAAATTTAAAAAACAACAATAATTACCTTGTTGGTTTAAACTCTGTTATTAAAACCTGCAGTGAGGTAAAAAAAGCATTTGATCCCTTGCTGATTTTGAACATTTGCCCACTGACAAAGAAATGATCAGTCAATAATTTTAATTGTAGGTGAATTTTAACAGTGAGAGACAGAACAAGAAAAAAGAAAATCCAGAAAAAACGCATGTCAAAAAAAGTTATAAATTGATTTGTATGTCCATGAGTGAAATAAGTATTTGACCCCTTCGACTTAGTTCTTGGTGGCAAAATCCTAACTGGCAAACACAGAGGTCAGATGTTTCTTGTAGTTGGCCGCCAGGTTTGCACACATCTCAGGCAGGGCTGGTGCAAGGATTTTTGCTGCCCTTGGCAAACAAATATTTGCCACAATGCCCCACCCATATGATTTGCCATATGAGCCAAAGCCAGTGCTGCACACAGTGTCTTTTCTCTGAAAAAATAAATAAAATATAAACATATATATATATATATATATATATACACACGTTACTGCAACCACCATGACCACTACATTGATTTGAAGTAGTCATGGTGGTACAAGTCTGCATGTGCAATGTTTTTGCTTGAAACACTGCCAACCAATAGCTGTTGTTAATTGTGTGCTGGAGGATAGCACGTTACATAGGCAGGCCTAAAGTCAATTATGTGTTTAAAAAACGTATATGTCGTCCATCGGCACTGCACGTTGCCACAGATGTAAAAATCTTCCTTTTGCAGGCACTCCCACTGTCTGCTCCCTCCATAGTAGACCGTTGCTTTTGTTGAAATAGTTTTTTTAGCACACTGAGCCAGCGAAATGGACCAGTCATAGCACTTGTGCCATGGACGTCCTCGTCAGAAGCTTCGCCTGTATTTAAAGTGAGTAAAATGCTTATTTTACAGATTTTAAGTAAAATAAAACATGGGGGAAAAAATGAAATTCCCAATAATTCCTGGTGAGTGTCCCCTCCATTACCAAAACCTGGACAAAAAACATTAAATAGTAAACTTCCTACATATGTCCAGGGTGATTTATCATTTATGTCCCTAGTTCTTGTTTTACCTTGGCAGTTTAAATTTTAGAATTGAAGACTTCTGTTTCCCTCACTACGAATAACTGTGCTGAAATACACTGATCTGTGATCAGTACATAATATGCAGGGGCCCTTTTAAGGTCTACTGTGCATATTGTAGTATCATCATGACTAGTTACACCGCTATCCAATGACGATACAATCTGGAATCCTAACAGTGCATCCACCCACCTGCTAGGGATGCCACTATTGCAAAACGTAGAATTTATCATGCATGTTTGGCATATTATATGTACTCCCTCCTCCGCCAGATTCAGAGTTCAATGATAGCTTGTAATGGACGGATTATGCTGGAGAAGTAAACATTCAAACTTCCTAAGGATGTCTTTGTTTAATCTATCGGCACTTAAACAGGGCGTATCCACTGTGGAGACGCCCAGTAACCTAAAATGTTGCCTGCCAGCATTTGCTATTCTCTCTCTCCCCCATCTTTAACTTTGGGTATTGAACAACATATCTTTTAGGGGATCTCAATGCATACCTCTCAAGCAACTCTACTTAGGAGGGAAAGTCACTATTTTCCACAGCAATACTCACAGAAATGTATCTTTAAACTACAATAAATATGTTTAAAAAGCAGTGTGTAAAAAAGATACATTATTCTTGTTCTAAAGTACATCTTAGTTCAGTGATGGCTAACCTTGACACCATAAATTGTTTCTGGACTGCATTTCCCATGATGCTCAGCTAGCTTTTAGAGTCTAAAATTACCATACCTAGCATCATGGGAAATGAAGATCAGAAATAATTTATGGTGTCAAGGTTAGCCATCAATGTCTTAGTTTAACAACTTATTAGTAAGTCCCCTAAACGTTTTCAGAACAGCCACATCCCCACGAACACCCTAAATTAAAGTGTCCAGAAATTAAAAGTGGGACACACTCTAAAAGGTATGGTAATTAATGAAACTACAGTATGCTAAACGTCAGGATGTTCAGTAGAGGCCGGTTACATACCCTTATCCTTGCACAGGATTATGTCTCTTGAAAACTGAGGTTCCTACTATGACAGGACTGTATTCAGAACGACAGAACGACACCACATTGCTTTCCGGCATCTACCGGCATCTTTCCGGCATCTACCGTAATACTGCTGATTTACATCTGGAACGCAG